GATGCTACCGACTGTGGACACGGTGTGACAGGTATACTTCAAGGAATGAAATCGGGGACACGCATTGATCGGAGCACTGCGCCTGTGGATGCTACCGACTGTGGACACGGTGTGACAGGTATACTTCAAGGAATGAAATCGGGGACACGTGTTGATCAGAGCACTGCGCTTGCCGAATCGGCCACCGGTGGATGCAGCCCGAACTGTTCGAAGCCCGCTGTATCGTTTTCGGTTGGCCTGTCGCGCAGTGTTCGTCCAGGGGAGAATAATAGGGCACGTGTGTCTATTACGTCTGTGGAAGATACCCAGGGATTGCCATCTTGTTTGATGCTTTGCAAGCAAGATGAGTTGCGCTCTGCGCAGACTGGTGCGGGATCACTTTTTTCAGGCATTAGACAGTGTAATGCGAGGTGTGGTAAGCCTGGCGAGGAGAGTTGTTCGGAAGAAGAGGCTGATACCTCGATGGGCTCGGTGTGGTCTGAGATGTTAGATGGTAGTGGAGGTAAGGCAATGATGACCACAGAAATGGACGCCACTTCTTTTATTCACGCGCGCCATCTAAATTTGGCCGAGCTCTTGGTTGAGAGCCATTTGTGTGGGGCAAGCCGTCAAGAAGGTTCTAATACCACGGAGATGCTTCCGTCCATTTTCGAAAACGGGGTTTCCTGCGACAACAACGAGGTAACGAGTTATGCATCGAGGAACCGACTCTTGCACCACGCGCCCCCTCCTGGGCCCTCGCGTACGAGGCGGGGTGCCACGCCAATGTATGCCACTCCATACAGACGGCATAACAATCCGACATGCCCCGAGCACCTGGCTCGGATACAGCGCCAAAAACGCCGAACCCCTTTTTTTGTACCCGGTGTGCCCTTTGTGGAGTCGCCAGACGTGTCTACAGACGTGGACATGCGGGAATGGCGTAGGAAGGAGGCCGCTAGGATGCAGCGAGTGCACGCATGGGTGCAGCGAGGCCTGCGGTGGCAGCGAGAGGAGTGGGAGGCGCAGTTGCGCGCCGAGGCACACAGGGCCTTCGGTGCGCGGTGGCCACTGCCACCCGGCGGCTGGTTCGCCCCCGTCCCGCCCAGCCCCTTTGCCCCTCGCCAATGGTACTTCTGATAAGTGAAGGTCGCATGCATATATGTTTTCGCTTAGACTAGATGCTTTATTGTTTTGGGTATGGATGGAGCATTGCGGCTGCACACGCATAGTTCCTGATTGTTTCTACGCTTGGTTTTATGTGGCTACTTAACAATTTTCCGTTCACTTTCTTTTTCTGCTGACTTCCTGATTGGGATGCATGGTAACGGATGTTCCTCTGACCTTAAC